AAGCTTAGAGGCAAAAGTCTCTATTTGGAGGAGCTGAAATGTGACCCAAACTGCTTTTTGTCAGGAACCAAAGAGGTTTGAAACCACTGGTTTTATCTTTAACAGTGTGTTGCATGGTTAAAGTTCATCATATTTTCCTTTTAGTAAAATGTTCATCCTAAACGCAACCAAAGCTGTCAGAAGCACATTTTCTCCTGAAATGCAGTTTAAAGTAGCATAAAACAGAAACACCAACATTAAGTAGAAGCACCACAAAACTGTACTGAAACACAGGACTTGAGTTACTGCACTGGGATACTTTCCATTACTGGCTTCTTCTAATTAACTGATCATCCATATGACAGTTTACAAACTCATACATTCATAATTTGACTAAATAAGTCTTGAATCAAGGCAGTAAAGTTAGTTTACTTCTATGAAAAGCCCCAAACGGGTCATTGAAACAGGTCAAAAGATCAGGAAATGTTTAAATGAACCCGCTGCACCGACGCAGACATTTAACATGTGCTGTTTTTCACAAGGTCAAACGTCTTCCATTGAAGGCTGCCTGCTTGCGGGCTTGTGTGTGTGTGTGCGTAAAGATCATGCCAAATTACCCAGCACCTAAAATATTCTTTATCAAGCTCCAGACATGTGTTTTCAATGTTCTTTAAATACACTGCACACATACACACACAAACACACACACATGAACAGCACTTCCTTTGCCAGATAGTTAAAACTGAACCCCTCCCTTCTTGTCTCGGAGACAAAAGCTCAGTTTATCCTTTTTTTCCTTTTTTTTTGTGTGTGTTTGCGCATCATACAGACAATCTGATTAAACTGTGCAAACTGCAAAGCTGACTCGGTTATTTATCAATACCAAGAGCATCTGACACACTCTGGAGGGAGTTACCTGCTGGGAACAAACCAGTGTGGCGGTGATCTGTTGTTAACCGAAATTATGTTTTAGGAGCATTAACATCATTTTCTGATAGGATCTAGTTTAGGACGCTACGTTACAATTTTACATTCATGATGTTGAATAATTACAAGACACAATCGCATAATTAAATTCAGAGCAATTTGCATCTGAAGAGTCGCAGACAGTGATACAGGATTATACATTCACTGTCATGCAGGATTTGCCAAAAGACACAGCATGTGGCTTGAGCCTGTGTTGAACGTGATTACCTGATTCTACCGTGTGTGTGTGTGTGTGTGTGTGTGTGTGTGTGTGTTACCTACTCCTCACGACACTGTGGTCAATCAAACCACCCTCCCTTGCTGTGGCCTGGCTGCAACCCCGTATGGTTTTACCCACCCACACACACACACACACATGCGCACACACACACAGCCTCTGCAGCCTTGTAAACCCATGTTGTGTTGTTTCCAGCAGCAGTAATATTTTATGAGGGTTTGGAGAGGGGAACACTGGCTGCTCGGGTCACGACATGGAGTTACCAAGTGTGTCTGCGCGCGAGCAGGAAGAGGCATAATTGTGTTCTGGAATAGCAGGTTGTGTCCGATTCTACACGAGCCGCGACCGAATGCACTTTTCAAGCGCTCAGTAGTTTCACATGGTAGTTAAGACCTGCCACGTGTTTTCTTTGTCTTCCAGTCGTCCAAAAATTGCTGCACAGTTTGAGAATTTATTGAGACTTGAAGTTGTTTGAGATTTATTTATTTGGTTGTATTATTGATCTAAAGTTCTGCTGTTGAAAGCACACTCTGGTTTTAAAGTCTGCTGATGTAATGGGTTCAAATGCTGGTGAGAAATCTGTTGTGTGAGTTATCTGGAGAAAGCAATCCTTTTAATTTCATGTTTTCTGGATTCGTTTATCTTTAGTTTTTCCTCACACCAAAGCTCAAGAATGAATCTTTCAAATATTAGGTGCAAACACCAGAACGTTTTGATTTTTTAAAGATGCACTGGTGGGAAAAAATGTGTTCTCAACAATAAATTAACTTAAAATAATTCAATCTAATGCTGATGTTTGGAAGAAAAAGGAGATGAAATCATGAGAACCCTAAGACCACGAGCAATGTGCCTCTTAAGATGATCGAATATGAGCTGAAGTTCACAATGCTGAGATGTTTGTGTGATGGAAACAGAATATTAGATTACAGACCCCAAAAAAAGAGCACATCAGAAGCTACTGCCAGCTGTGATCCTTAAATGTCTCGAGCTCAGCTCCAAAAAGGCATAATATTAGATTTTCTTTCTCTGAATTCCCTGCCCTTGTTCCTCCTTTCTTTCTCTTTTTTTCCCCTGTTTTACGACAGGCAGTAAAAGTCAGAGCCAAAACCTGCTGGACGCTTTTATATAGAAAACACTAAAATGGCAAACAAGAGCTGATCACGAACATGGGTGAAAGGAAAGGAAAGGAAAGGAAAGGAAAGGAAAGGAAAGGAAAGGAAAGGAAAGGAAAGGAAAGGAAAGGAAAGGAAAAAGGAGGAGGCAGTGTTGGCTATAAAGTAAGAAAAGCAGATAAATATACTCTGTGTGTCTGTGTGAAACTCCTCTCCTCTCAAATACACCACAAACAGGGACCGTTGCGAGGCATTAGGGCTTTTGTAATGGACATTATGACTCACCTTGGTAGCATCCGCTGCTAAAGAGCCCTGCAGCATGTTTTATTATAAATACTTTTATAGGTGTGGATATTTCAAAGTCATTCTTTGATGAACATGCCCATAAGTGTTAAAGAGTTTATTACACAGAGCATAATATGAGATAATCTGAAATGTGTCACTAACACAAAACACACCTACATGCACACTGAAAATATAAAACATAGAGTTCTCAGGCTCAGGAAATAAACATCCTCTGGTGGGCAATCCCAGTCAAATAAAAAAAGAAATGGAAATTACTGCAAAACTTATACAAAAGCCTGTGCTATTTTCTGTTTTTTTCAACACAAGGACATTAATGTGCACAACCAACAGCGGGGTGCATGTGTGCAGCCTAAATATGTTTGTGTGTTCTAGTCGTGCGTCTTGTATTTCCCAGTGTTTAGCATCTGATACTGGATATGTGTCTAAACAGCGCTGTGGGTGTTGCCTGTCGAGCTCAGAGGAGAGAGACCTCTGCTGTCTGAATGCACACTTGAGAAGCCCTCAGGGACCTGCACTCACATTCACTCACACACATCAATGCTGCCGTCAGCTAAGCTAAAGAAGCCTACATTTACAGCTACCTTTGGGTGTCATTTTTGAACATACGGGCTACAGATTACCATCCAAGCAGACAGTGAAAAACAGAAGAAGTACTCATCACTGTATTTAACTGATGCTTGTTTGCAAACTGTACTATTGGCATTTAACTGATAATAAACAATAATTAAATCTGATACTGGTACAGTTACTGCACTATTATCCACATATGTTGTAACCAACGAAGTACAATTTTACAATCTACCTCCCTGCGACACAAATATTTATTTTTAATTTTGTCTTTCTACTCTAATATTTATATATATATATTTTCTTACTACACTTATATTGCTGTATTTTTACTCAGATTTTGCTCTTGTTTTATTGTACTTATTATTCATTAGGCTTCTTCTTTAAAAACAAACAAAAAAAAAACAGGACCTGAGTACTAATTTCGTGCCACAAACACGTGAATGTGAGCTGGCATGACAAATAAAGTTCCTCGAATCCTTGAAGTTTTGGGAGTAGCCTTATGAATGAAGCATAAGTTCAAGAAAACAACTAGTATTTGAAGAGACAGACAGACTACAGCCCTGGAAATAAATTCGTAGTGGAGCCTCTGTCGTTCACTATCGCAGCAACAGGTGTGGCGCCTCCGTCCTGTTTGTCCCTGCCCGGCCGCCGTCGCTGAGTTGCCTCCCAACAACACTGAACTGTCAAGACTACTTCTGCTTTCAGTGCGCTGCACTGATTGGAACAGATACAAAAAAAATGCCATAGCTCGGTGTTTCTGCCCTGACAACTGCTTTCAATCACCCGAACGAATTCCGAGTCGCTGCTCCACAAACCTCCGACACTTCGCGCCGACTTCGTGCCGGCGGTTGGTAAGTTTAGTTAGCTTCTTTAGCAGAGCGGTAGCATCGAGCTAGCCAACTTCAGCTTATTAGCTTTATCTGCATCTACAGCGATGACAAACGACCTTCAGGCGTCGGTACGGTAATTATGTGATGTGTAAAGACGCTGGCAGTAGCATGCAAAGCAAGAAAAGTTGTTTTCACTTGGGGATAGCACGTACATGTGTTTGTCGATAAGCTAATTTATCAGGCTGAGTGAAAGTGACTAGCTTTGGAGGGATAAGAGGCTGAGTGTTGGTGTGGTGCATGTCTCCACAGAAACAGGTTAGTAATGTTTGGATAGGCTTTTTATTGAGTGTAAAGCATGAAGCCATCCTGTTGTTGAGCTGTTGGGACATGCCAGAAATGCCACTACAGATAATACTAATGTAGTGAGAATAAACAAAAACCTCTTTACTCGTTCATTTTTTAATTTGGAAACAGCAGTTTGACAATATAAGTGCTTCAGATGCAGCTGGAAGCCCCCATAAAAGCTAGTAGGTGGAGAATGTTTAGATTATTATCATTTTTATATGTTAACCAGTCATGTAGTTTCTGCATTAACATGTTAAAGTCAATAATTAGGGGACTAAATATTCCCTGATTGAATTCAGTTGTGATTCTCGCAGCTTACTAACATGAAACCAGATCGTGCATGGTGGACAATCAGTTTGACCGTATGCTTTAGGAAGTATTGCTTTCATCTGCATTGCATTGTTATAATCCCGAGCCAGAACCCACTGATATGCAAACTTGTGTGTGTTGTACACGCCAGACTTATTGCCATGTCGAGTCATAAACTGTGTATTTGTCTGTTGTTTTGGGTCTCGAACAGGAGCCGGGTGAACCAATGAGGCGTCAAAGCGGCACGGAGGATTGATTTATTCAGCGCGAACAGAAGAAAGGCTTTGAAAAAAATGCTAATAAAGGTGCTTTCTGGGTTCTGAGGGAATGGAGAGCCTGAAGTAATGGAGAACCGAGAGGAAAGGTGAACACACAGGAACACGCAGACGCACTTTTTTTTTTTCCTGACTTACATACGTGTTCCTGATTGAGCTGAGATCGACCAGTTAACCCTGTTTATGCATGTACCAATGTTCAGTAAATTCTTGCAGTACAAAGTGCTTTTCAAGTTACAATAATGTTTAATGATCTTTCTTTTTATCACGTTTCTAGTAAAAAAAAAATCAACTTTCAATCACAGTACATATCTGCGTCAGTCAGACTCTGCTATAAAAGCTTTACGAGTATTGAACTTTGAGATTTTTCATTGTGGTTCTGCTCTATATAAGTGTCCAGTTCAGCATGACTGCTGTGCACGCTGTGGTTGTTCAGTCAGATTTGTTCTCCTCCTAACTACATGTCAAGGCCCGCAGAAGCTGAACAAACAATTTTTGGTTGACAGCTGCATGAGGCATAATTTAATCCATCTTTCACTCATGTTTGTGCCGCTAAACCACAACTAATCTCCACACTAGACTGCCAGCTTGTCTCTGGGCCCAGCCGCTGATTTCCAGGTTCAAAGTTTGGTGCTACTGTTCAGCTCGGTTTGACTTTAGACAGATTGTGTTCAGGTTGGTCACATCCTGGTCCAAATATAATAGTCTACATGTGTTTTCACAGTCCTGCAGATGAGCAGGCGCCCACACTGCCGGAGCGAGGACTTCTCCACATCTGGCATCCAGCGGGCTTCAATGAGCAGCTCTGCCCGGAGAGAGTGCTGCTGTCCCGGTCTGTGCTGCAGGTCGCTCTGGGAGAACATCATGGCCTCCTGTTGGCACAGGGTGAGTGTGGGTTCATGGTGAAGTCGGGCCGGGTGATAGTTGTGTCTGTCGTTTGAGAACTTGTATAAGAATGTTGTGGCATATCAAGAGGAACATAACTAGTATTTTTTATAAAACTAGCAAAATCCGTACCAAAAGGCATCATGAGAACTTGACTAGGCTATTTATTTTTTATCAGAAAAAGCAAGTAAATATGAACTTTAGGGACAGATATCCGTGCTGATCTCCTGATTTGATCCTAAGCCCAGAACCCCTTGCTTTTCATTCAGTTTGCTTAGCTGGTTTTTCATTTCTACTCGGTTGCTTCTGTCTTCCAGGTGGTCAGGTGTATTCTTTCGGAGAGCTGTTATGGAGGGACCTGAGCATCCCGGTGTCTGCTCCGGTGCTGGAGGGCTCTCTGCTGGGGAGGACGGTGGTCCGTGTGGCTGCTGGCGGCTTCCACTGCGGAGCACTGAGTGAGCAGGGCAGCGTCTACATGTGGGGAGAGAATACTGCTGGACAGTGTGGGCTGACGGAGAGGGGCACGGTCACAAACATCACAGGTTGGTTAAGTCCTTCCTTCATGTGTTATCGCCTTCCTACCTTCTTACTTCTGCCTTCCCTCAGTACGTCAGTCCATACTTTATTCTTACTACTTACTACTTTTTCTTTTTCTTTCACTTCCATTTTTTAATTAGCCAATCGTTTTTCACTTCCACTAATTTTATCTGATTTTGAAAGATTTGCATTTTCAGGACACTTTTGTTTTGACTCATTTTTTAATTTTACTTTTTGAATTGCTGATTCAAAAGAAAGACTTCTCTTCATGTTTTTGTTAGAGTTCTGATTATTCTGATGAAGCTGATTTTTGTGCTGGTGTAGTTCCAGAGCCCAGTCCAGTCAGCGTGGTGGACAGTGAGGTCGTTCCTCCCGCGGTGGTGCGGGTCGTGGATCTCGCCTGTGGACGAGAGCACAGCCTGGCGCTGTCGGCCCAGAATGAGCTGTGGGCGTGGGGTAGTGGCTGCCAGCTCGGCCTGGTCACCAGCACCTTCCCCGTGTGGAGACCACAGAAGGTAATCTTGTAAAGTAGGTTAGTTAAAAATTAGTTAAAAGGTTGACGTAGGACACTTTAATTTTTATGATCAGATTTGTGATCGTTTCTGTTTATGTTCCAGGTGGAGCACTTGGCAGGCAGACATGTGATTCAGGTAGACTCTCAGATATCTTCATTGCGACATTAAAACAAGAAAAACATTTTTTTTCTCGTCGTAACCGCTGTTTATTTCTAACAGGTGGCTTGTGGTGCATACCACAGCCTGGCCGTTGTTCGCAGTTTACCTCCTCAGGACTATAATACCCAGAATCCCCCTAAGAAGAGGGAGCGGGGGCAGTCACCACACTGCTCACTGACGGAGAAGGAGGAGCTGCTCACAGCGGATGAGGCTCACTACTGTCCGCTCGGGGTGGAGCTGACTGAGGTCATGAAAAATGAGGTGAACACACAGAAATGAATGACTGGGGATCAGCATTTAACAAATAGCTGCAGCACATTTAAAAAATAGTGTGATATTCGTCTCTATGTATTATATCAATGAACAAAAGAACATGAAACCTCAAAGATGAAGGCGATACCTCTGATTGTCTTGTTACAGTGGCACATGCCCACGTCTTCAATGTGTTAGGAAGTAAAAGTGGCTGCTTGTAGTCAGAGGTTCAGGATGCAGGAGAAATGAGAAGGTGTAAAGACCGAAGTGACTTTAATTAGTTGCAAATTACTGTGGCCAGGCTGCTGGGTCAGAGCACCTTTGAAATGATGATGCTTGTGGGGTCCTCCTGGTCAGTGAGTACTTAGCAGCAGTGGTCTGAGGAGGGACAACACACGAACTGGTGACAGATTGTGGCCTCGTCGGGTCTGTGGTGGCTTTAGCTCACAACCTACATGACTTCAGAGATCTGCTGCTAGTGTCTTAGTGCCAGATATCGCAGGCCACCTTCAGAGATCTCTCCTCGGTGGTTCAGAGCTGGTTTGGCGACATCGAATGACCAGCAGTATATTAGGCGATGGTTCTAATGTTTTGGCTCATCAGTGAACAGTATTTCCAGCCTCAACATTCTGCTGTAACCAGAACTATATAATTGCAGCTTCTTGAGGCCGTAAAAATCTTTCAGGTCGACTTATAAACCAGTGATTTCCATGATCTGCTACCACAGCTATTAGCTGTTTCAGCCCTCTTCGTTTTGCGTTCACAGACTTCTCCCAGAAGACGAGGGCACAGACAAAGGCTCCGTCCTGGGGGAGTGTCAGCTGGTAGCAGCCCCGGCTCTGGAGCCAGTTCATGCTCTTATTCTGAAGATGGCAAACCTGCCACTAAACAGTACAGTATTATACCATCTTCTGTCTCTTTTATCCCTTACTTTTTTACATTTATTATTGTATATTTTTTCTTAGATATTGCTCTCTGTCCCTTCAATATATTGCACAACTGTAGAAAGAGTAGCTCCAGGCTTGGGCTCGACGAACACACTGAGCCCGTAACCCAGACCGATGGCAGCCCCAAAGCCCACACGCTGTCAGGCTGGAGGTCCAACAAGAACTCGGCCTTCACTAATGAGCTGGAGCTTCAGAACCTCCTTGAGAAGCTCTCTGGTCAGACGTTGGAGGCGCATCACACTACATGGACAGGAGATACCGACTCACTGAGCAGCCACACTTCAGGTTTGTTGCTTCTCTTTTCTTTTAAGTTAATTCTTTTCATTGTTTTATTTATTTAAGTTTTTTGGTTGAATGTTGGTTTGTTTTAATTATTCCTTCATTTGTTCTTTTGTTTGATTTATCGTTTATTTCTTTGTTCTGTTTTCTTTTCATTCCACCGGTAATGTTTTCTTCTTCTCCCTTCATCGTTTTGTCCAGACGACAGCTACGTTTCCTCAACTCCCTCCACGGATATGTTGACTTCCAGTTACAAAGAAGATTCAGCTATTAGGAGACAAACCAATAAGTAAGACTAAACTGAGCTGACAATTAATTGGTCTGTTTGATTGAGAATTTTAGGCGATGCAGTTAATCAGTGCTTCAGTAATCTCGTGTTGAGAAATTGTCTTTCAGAACCACTAAAATAGCAGAAAAAAACATTCATAGTGATGCTTCTTATTTTATTTTATTCAAATGATTCCACTTGACCCCACAGTGCAAATACCCAGAAGTCAAGCTTAAAGTATTTGGAATAATAATTGTCTGGCCTGCGTTTTAGCAGCTTGATCTCTGACCTCCTGTCTTACAGTAACAGCGCACCGTCAGGGCCGTACTCTTCCTCCCCAGTGTGCTTGGAAGAAGTTCGGCTGTGTCTGGAGAAGGAGAAGCAAGCTCTGCAGGGTCAGAAGAGCTCCAGTCTCACAAATATACACCAGAAGGGAAAAGCAGCAGCGAGCAGGAGACGCTCACTTCCTGGAACACCCACCCACGGTAGGAATGGTCAAGTGTGAAAAGCTTAACTGTGCTTCGGGGAAATACGTTTATTTACTTTCTTCCTGAGAGTTAGATGAGAAGATCGATATCTTTAGCCCTAAATATGCAGCCAGGAGGCTGTTAGCTTAGCTTATCATCGAGACTACAAGACGCTGTTTGCCAAGAAATACTGACAGCGTTTAACTCCCTGAAAAACTACAAGTTGCTTTTTTTTTTTACACTTCTTTTTGTATTTATCAAGCACGTTAGGGGTGCTGGTAGGAATGTGTTTGAACTGTGGACAAGATTAATTAGGATTTTTATCAGTGGTTGTGCTGTTCTGCATCGTTATTCATTAAAGTGTGCTGCCACAGAGCGTACCTCTGCTACTGGTGTTAGTTAAAAATACCAGCAGGATCACTGAAATGCGTCCCTCTGTTAAGTTGCAACCTGGTGAACAAAGAAGGAATAAATGTTATCTCAATGCAGGTTCTGCCTGTGTTTGCATTACATGTTGACGCACTGAACAATAATGGATTCCTCAAAGCCAGATTTTATCAGATCAGATAAAGTGTTAAATAAACCAAGATCACAGCATGCGCAAACTCACGTCGAAATCGTTGCTGTTATCTCGACAGAGCAGTATTTGCCTTCTAGAGATAAAGTGAAGATAAGGCAGTTATCAAGACAGAATGTAAATGACACATCATGCAACCAGAAAGTCCTTTAATGACTTATTTCAGCCAGAAGGACCAGTCTTATAACTCAGTTCACTGTTTAGTCTCTCGCCACTCAGCATATCCGCAGAGGAACGTATGAAAGACTTTGGTAGTCCCACGAAAGCTGACACAGGCCAGAGGTTGACATTCAGGGAACTCTGAGCTGAGCTGACACACCAGACTGACTTCTCATTTTCTGGTTAGTTTCAAGAGTGTATAAATTTCTTATCAGTCAAAAACAGATCTATAAACGGCTCCCTCAGGACTTTCCAGTTTTTGCTCAAAAGTCCTTGTGTACGTATTAGATATTGAGGCGCGGTCCATCTTTTTCACTCATCTTGATGTTGCTGTGACCTCCTGCTCTGCTGCTTATCTCAACAGCTTCGTTCAGCTCACTGCTCGTTAGTTTGGAGGTTTTTATGAGCTGGTTCCAGAGAGGCTCAGTAAGCCAGTAGGGTGTGTTCATACAAAGCCCGTTGGGCGCGGTTCATTTGTGTTTGACTATGTAGTATAAATAATTTTGGCTGATGGGAGCATCGTAGTGTGAACTCTGACGCTGTTGGCAGAGAGAACACACCTCTTCCAAGAATTACGTTATGCGTGTTCAGATGTTTTACTGCTGTTGCTTGTGACAAATAAAGTCCAATCAGGGCAAAAGCTCTGATGTATGTAAGGATTTAGTTATTTTT